GACCGATGCGGTCGACCGAAAGCTCCATCGGTCGACCGACGATGGTCCAGAATAGTCCTTCGTGTTTTTGTTCTCCGTCGGTCGACCGACAGAATTTCCGGTCGACCGCCAATGTATCCGTTGGCTTCCAACGGCTATTTTTCTGAGCTGTTTGCTGGGACTGTTTTTGTCTTTTGTTAGGGGTTTTGGCTGAGATTTAGAGTGGGTATAAATACCCTATTGCTGTTCTCCTTCAACCTAACCAAGAGAATTGTTTAAACAAGTTTAAGGGTGTTTTGTGTTTGTTTAAAAGAGTGTTTAAGAGTTTTGTTTGTGAAGCAAATTTCACAAGGGCAAGTGGAGATCATCCTTTGGTGTTTGAGCATTCACTCTTCTCCCACTCTCTTGTCATCTTTAGAGAAGTGTTTCTAAACTCATCTAGCAATTTATTATTTTGATTATAATTTCCATAAGCTAGATTTATATTGAGTTTAGTTCAATTGATTTTATTTATTTCTTTGTACACACACAACCATTGAGCTTATTGTATTTACATTCATAGTATAATTGGGTTGTGGGATTGTGTAACTTAGAGAGTGAGCTTACAATTCGTTCTCATTCATTGTAGAGAACAAACACTTTGTATTGAGCCTAATTGTGAGGATTCACTTGTAATACACTTGTACACCGAGAGAAGTGTGTAGTGAGAGACGGGGTCGAATCCAAGAGGAGTGGAGTCGGTTGACGTGCCTAGGGAGAGGTTGTAACCGAGCACTTGAGGAGGAGGACACGGGCTAGGACCAACACTTAGTGTGTGAGGTGTGATTGCATAGTGATTGTATTGTGAGGTGTAAACGTTGTTCGGGTGAACGTAGAAAACCCGGTTGTGATAGTGGAGATCTCCTCGAGGTGAGGAGAGGAGACGTAGGTCGTGGGGACCGAACTCCCTAATCATATTGTTTGTTTGTGATTGCATTGGCGCACTTCCTTTTATGTTCATATCTTATATCGCCTTTGTATATTGCTTGTTGATTATATTGCCCACTATCTAGTTTAGATTGTTTACCCTTGAGTTTATATATCCTTGCACATACTTACCTATATCTCTTTGTTAGGATATATTTTGTTGTTCATATTGCTTATCCTAGCTCATATACATTGTTGTATTTCATACTTGCTAGGATAGCTTGTTAATATATTTTAATTGGCATTTAATCGGACTAGATTAGCATAAGACCCTAATCACCCCCCCTCTAGGGTCTAACAGAGGGGATTTGATTTTATTTATGATTTGAATTAGTTACTAAATATTTTATCAAAAATATTCTAACTAATTCTAAATTGAATTTTTCTATATCTGAATATTTGAGCATAAATTAATTTTTTCTATATTCAGAATATATAGTTTCATAAGAAATACTTAAATGAGGGATTTGATTTTATTTACAATTTGAATTAGTTACTAAAGATATTGCTAAAGTAACTCTAATTAATTATAAAATGATTTTTTTCTATATTTTAATATCTAATTATAAATTATTTTTTCTATATCTAGATATCTTATTTGAATTAACTGCTAAAGTTATTGTCAAAGATATTCTAAACATTTGAAAATATGAAAATATATTTTAATTTTTTTTATAATTGGTGTAATTTTTTTAGAAACCCAAAATATTTTTTTTATAATTTTAAATCACTATAATAATTTAAAAACCCTGCTATATATGTTAAAAAATATATTTTAAATACTGTAATATTTAAAAAATTAAATTTATATTTATTGTTAGAAATTTAAGATTATTTTAATTAAAAAAATATTATAAATAATAAAAAATATATATTCAAAGCAATTTAAAAATGTAATAAAATACAAATCAATTTTATAAATTAGTAAAAAAATCATTTATATTAAAATAAAAAATTCAAATTGTGATATGTAGATTAGAATTAAAATTCAAGTTCTAAAAAATTAATATTTTTCAATAGATAAAAATAAAAAATAATACATAAATTTAAATAAAAATTATATCAGACGGGAGTAGATGAAATACCTGAATCATTTTCTCCCAACCAATTAAAGAGCCATGCATTGAAGACAAAATTACATAGGTAAAAAAATCGATAATCAAAAAAATTTGAAAACTATTAAAAGAGGTAAAAAATAATACATAAATTAAAATAAAATAATAATTGGTGTAATATTTTAAAGAACAAAAAAATATATTTTCTATATAAATTCAATATTTGAATATATTAAATACTTGAATTATGTTCTCCAAGCAGCAAAATCACCGTAGGATGAAAATTAAAAATCACCAATTTGTTTTCTGGTAGTAATATAAAAAATATTAAAAAATAAAATTGAAAATAATTATTCATGGGTTGTAGAGTAAGCAGCTAAATATTAATATTATTTGATAAAATTATAACCAAAAAAATACTACATAACTTTAAATAAAAATTATATTGGACCAGGGTAGATGAGATACCTGAATTATTTTCCACCAAGCAATTAACAAACCATGGGTTGAAGATAAAATTACATAGAAATAAAAAATCAAAAATCTAAAAAATAAAAAGATAAAAAACAATTAAAATTAAAAAATAATACACAAATTAAAATAAGATAAATGGTGGATGGTGTTAGGTTAATTACCTGATGTATTTTTCAAAGATCGGAATAACAATTCGGAGTAGGAATTAAAAATCAACAATCTAAAAAAATTTGAAAATAATTAAAATTAGAAAAATAGACAAAATAAATAACATAAATATCGGATCATGCTGATTAATTACATGATGTATTTATCGAATATCAAAATAATAATTCAAAGTTCTTAAAAAATTAAGACGGAAAAACCAAAATGTAAAAAAATTGAGATGGGAAAAGCCATAGGAAAAATAAAATGGAATTTTGAGATAAATAACTATTTTGGAATTTTGAGATAAAATGTATATTTTTTTCATATATTAAAAAGAAATGCCTAAATGAGGGGATTTAATTTTATTTGTGATTTGAATTAGTTACTAAAGATATTGCTAAAGATATTCTAATTGATTATATATTAATTTTTTCCATTTATAAATATATTTATTTAAATTAAAGGTTGAGATATAATGCAATTTAAATGCGCGGATTAGATGATATGATATGTGTCAAAAAAATTTAGTGTAGGAGGAAGATAAGGTATCATCCTCTGGTGAGTTTTTAAACTTTTTCGTTTTGCTTTAATGTATACCCTAGGAAAAGATGGGTCACTTTATATTGGTCACGTCATAAATGGGTCGACCCAAAAAATTCATTTATTGATGGGCTTGTAAACGGGTTAGCCCACTAACTTAACTTTAAACAATTTATCATACAACCCTTAACATTCAAAATTTATAAAAGCTTTTTCAAATTTTTTTTTTGTAAAAGCACATCCGTAAAATATCAAACTTATGAACACTCTATAACCTAGAAGTTACATACAACATTATGAAAATTTTATAATTTTCATAATTTGTAGAAACACTCTTAAGAGAATATCAAAATTTACAAAACAGTACAAAAATTTATAAATATAAACAACATAATAAAAATTTTGAAATTTGCAAAAATGCCTTAAAAGTTTTAAAAATTACGAAATACACCCTCAAAAAGTTAAATTTATGAAAACACAGCCCGAAAATATCAAAACATAGAAACAATACAAAGTCCAAAACTTATAAAGAGCACCGTGAAAATTTTAAAATTTACAGAAAAGATCCTAATCGTTTCAAAAGTTACAAAAAACAACCTAAATAAGTCAAAATTTACAAAAATGCACCCTAAAAATTCAAAATCTACAAATAACTACACAATCTAAAACTTAAAAATAACACCATGAAAATTTAAAATTTGCAAGAAAATACCCTAATGGTTTCAAAAGTTGAAAAAGCACTCAAAATAAGTCAAAATTTTTAAAAATTGAAACTCATGGACAATGAAGTTTTCAGACAATGAAGTTTTCATACTTTACAACTTACAAAAAACCCTTGATAGTTTGGAGTTTTGTAAAAAACACCCTAAACATTTAAAAAATTGCAAAATGCATGCTCAAAAGTCAAATTTTTATAGAAACATGCCCTGAAAATATCAGAACTTACAAAAAGTACAAAATCTATAAGTTATAACCAGCACCATGCAAATTTTAAAATTTACAAAAAATCCTAAATGTTTAGAAAATTACAAAATACACCTTTAAAAGTCAAACTATTACAAAAACATGCCCCGGAAATAATAAAATTCACAAACAATACAAAACCTATATGTTATAAACTGCAGCATAAAAGTTTCAAAATTACAAAATACACCATCAAAAAGTCAAATTTTACAAAAAGACACCACAAAAATATCAAAACTTATAAATATTACAAAATCTATAACTTAAAAATAGCAAAGTGAAAATTCTAAAATTCACAGCAAACACCCTGAAAGTTTCAAATTCACTAGTAAAAATTCACGTATTCTAGACGGAATATTCTAGACGGAAATTCTTCCGTCTAGAATGTATTAAACTAGACGGAAAATTTCCGTCTAGAATATTCCGTCTAGGATAAAACATTCTAGACGGAAATTTCCGTCTAGAATAGTATTCTAGATGGAAATTTTATTTTTATTTTTATTAAAAAAAATTCTAGTAACCTAGACGGAAATTTCCGTCTAGAATGTATTCTAGACGGAAATTTCCGTCTAGAATACGTGCCTATTTTTTTAAAAAAATTTAACCCATCAAAACCCCCGATTGCCCTCCGTTCCCCCCAAAAATCGGGGGGGGGCGGAGGGGAAATTTTTTTTTCAATTTCCAAAATCGAATTCCATCCCCCAAATCTAGCTCAAACCCCTATCTCCATAATCCTCTCCATCCACTCTCCCAAAATTGAGCTTCTCACCACCATTGGTTATTCCCGCCGCTCTTTCATCCAAGCCGCCCTACAGAACCGGCCGGGTATCAGGGCGAGCTCTCCCTACAGATGGCGGCCGGCGATGGAATCGGCTGCGGAGGGAGGCGGTGGGAATATTCGAACCTTGTTCGGCATAGCAGCTCGCCCGCTGGTCTCTTCGATCAGCTCCACGTAGAAAACGATAGATCTTCGGCTAGGTTTTCTTTTTTTCCTTTTTTTAGAATATTTTGATTTAGTCCCTCGTATCACCGAAATCGTTGTCGGATCCCAGTTCTCAATGATTGCTACCGTGCGATGCGTTAGAATGAGGGGATTCAATAGCAATTCCTATGAACTGAGGGACTAATTCAAAGTGATAAGATCAATGCGACTAATATTGAAATAAACAACTTTTTATTTTTTTGGGGTTTGGTTTGGGTCGAGGTTTTAAGGGAAAATGATGGTTGTTGCTATTTTTGGAGTTGGGTATGGAGTTATGAGAGGGATTAGGGGATACAGGAACGGGAACGAGTCAAGAATGAAGAGGCAATCGTCGGCGACTGCGGCTGGGTTGATGTCTCAGATATCGAAGATCGACGAGGAATCCATGGGAGGCTACGGACTGGGTCCATGGGAGGAGCAGAGGAGCAGAGACAGTCAAACAGAGGTATATCTTCACCCGACTAAAATTTCTACTCTTAAAAAAGATAAATAATAATAGCAAAGTTTCCATTAATAAGTGGAGCGTATTACTTCCACAAATAGTATCTGAGCAATCCAGATTCAAATCCTGCGAGACGAATCGTGTTTAGGAAATTATTAACCTCAATCTTTACCAAGCTTCAAAGCTTTAGGATGAACTTTGTAGGGGGGGAAAACCTTTAGGGCATGAAAAATGTGTTTAACATACAGAGAGACATGGTGAAACTATGAAGCTATAGTTATGTGGTATAGGGAGTTATTTTTTGTATAAGTTTATATATTTTGCTACATAACAAACTTCTGAATCCATCCTTTTCCTGTTTTAAGTGTGCCTATGGAAGTGAGGGGATTTACAAATAAATTGGTTAAAACTCCGGGTTTTATAGGGCAAGCAATTGTAAAATTATACCCTTCATTGTTCACCAAAACTTGGAACTTTGACATTGTAAGATGAACACTTATTAGTCCATAGTGTTGGATTTGATTTTGTGAGATGAATTTTGTGAGATTCGTGTCATGTGAACAGAACGGCACGCTGAATCATCAGTTGGGCTTGCACAAGACTTCGTCGGAGATGTCTGCGATCGAGAAGTTCTTACAGTTTCAGGATTCGGTTCCTTGTAAGATTAGAGCTAAACGAGGGTGTTCTACTCATCCACGAAGCATTGCCGAAAGGGTAAATATTGTATAAATATTTTCACATAATGGACTCAAAATTTGGTACGTCGTAATTGGAAATTATACTTTTATTCATCTTTATTTTAATTATTTTAGGTGAGGAGGACAAGGATCAGCGAGCGCATGAGGAAGCTACAGGAGCTTGTCCCCAACATGGATAAGGTAATTCAAAGACCTCGCAAGAGTTACCATACCTTCTAAATATTTTTCATATGCTACGCATGAGGGCAAAATTCAGTTCTTTCTTTCAGTTAAACTGAAGGTAAAAAGTTAATTCATCATCATCATATTAGGGGAATAATATTGCCAGGGTTAAAGAGGGTATTAGTGCTAATAGAATAATTTTAGAGGGTATAAGTAACTCTGCTCTTATAATACAGGGGGTGTATCTACCCACCTGACATCTGATGAAATTTCTATCAACAATATTATGCAACTTTTCGGAAACAATTTTTTTTATTAATTAGCAAAGTTTAAGGAGAGGCCGAAGATGATCTAATATTTCTATTTGGGATATGCAGCAAACTAACACCGCGGATATGCTAGATTTGGCTGTGGACTACATCAAAGATCTCCAGAAACAGGTCAAGGTAAAGTGAAAGTTTTGAACATTTTCTTCAGAATCTGATACATTTTCATACAATGCATGAAAAGGTTTTCTTTTAAAGTTAATTAGAAATAGAACTCATCTGTTCCTTTCTAATTAGCTATATCCTTAGTTTTAATTTCTGATACATAAGTTTTTTCTTTGCTCCTTTCTAATTAGCTGTTTAATGTTTATTTCCTATGTTTACAGGTACTGGGAGAAGGAGAAAGTTAGGCTAGCATATAGACCCGTCCATACGAATACTCTCTGGATAGTGAAATTGAAACATTACCTCCAAAAGCACGTGTTTATTGAAACCTGAAGGTCATCTGTTCTGTTTGATTTTTGAAATTACCTGATTACTAGAGGTTTTGAAGTTCAAACTCATGTTGGAATATAATGGGTTTTAAAATTTTTATGTAAAAGTTTGTAAACAATTTATGTATCTCTCTACTATTTTGGTGAATGTATTATTTGAATATAATGGGATTTGATATTGGAATATAATTAGATTGTGTTTGATATGAATATAATTTTTTGTTGTTCAATATTGTGTATATGCACCCAAAGTAGATTCCGCAAAAAAAAAAACTGTAGCATAGTATCCTAGACGGAAATTCCGTCTAGGATGCTCAAATTCCGTCTAGGATGTTTTTTTAACAAAAAAAAAAATAAAAAAATTAAAAATATCAAATTCCGTCTAGAATGAGTATTCTAGACGGAAATTTTTGTCTAGAATACTCATTCTAGACGGAATTTTTTTCCGTCTAGGATGAATTATTCTAGACGGAATTTCCGTCTAGAATAATCCGTCGAGGATGTATTCTAGACGGTTTTAAATTCCGTCTAGAATATTCCTTCTAGGATGTATTCTAGACGGAATTTCCGTCTAGAATACTACATCCTAGACGGAAACATACTAGACGCGTATTCTAGACGGAATTCCGTCTAGAATAAGCATTCTAGACGGAATTCTGGGTATCCTAGACGGAATTTTTCGTCTAGGATACCTCGTTATTTAGCAGTGAAAATTGCAAGATACACGCTAAAAAGCTAAATTTTACAGAGATACATAGCAGAAATATGAAAACTTCAAAACAGTATAAAATCTATAGCTTACAAACAGTAACATTAAAAAATTTGGTATTTGCAAAAAATATCCTAAAAGCTTCAAAAATTATAAAAAACACACTAACAATTTAATATTTTAAAAATTACTGAAAAGTTAAAGCTTACAATGGGTATACAGTTTTTAAATTAGAAAAAGCCCTGAGAAAATGATATTTGTAAATAACACCCTAGAACTTTTAAAATTTATAACACACCCTCAAAATTTAAATTTAAAAAAAAAACAATCCTAAAAATGTCTAGACTTCTAAGCAGTAATAAAACCTATGAATGATAAAAATTTGACCATGGATTTTATGTTAAGTACATGAAAATTATAAAATAATTAAAAGAATCCCTTGGGTTGATGGGTAACCGTTTAGTAAATGGGTTTTAGTTGATGGATAGGATTGGATCAATATTATACGGGTTGGGTTAAAATTTATCTAGGTTGGGTTGGGTCGGGTTGACCCGTTTGCCTCCATTATTTGCACCTCACATGTAGATTTGGTCTTCCATAAACATAGTACCAATCACTGTTTTTGGCATGCAAAAGGACAATGCACAGATTTAAATTCTGACTGTACTGACTGGTCCACATCTTGAATGACTGCAATCAATTTGATGTACGGATTATGTCTAAAAAATTGATGTGCGAACGAGTTTGTTGCTGCATTTTTATGGAATAAAAGGAGCACATTTCATTTGAGCTGAGAGGGTTTCTTTAACAATTAAGTAGCTAAGTTTTGCTAAACTATGGCCACATCCTCCTCAGACTTTAAAGGGAAAGATAAAATGAGCTCCACTTCCTACATTTTATGCGGCTTTTCAGACGATTATGAGTCTTCTTGTGATGACAATTTTGAGGAAGCAAAGAATACTGGTATTGAGGTTAAGGTAAAGATATGTGAGGATAATGTTCTATTGAATATTCACTGCAGGAAAAGCAAAGGAGTGCTGGTGAAGATGCTGGGAGAGATTGAGAGCCTGAAACTCTCTGTTATTACTGCTCGTACCACTCCCTCTGAGGCTTCTGAGCTCGTTATTACTGTCAACGCTCAGGTTTGTAATTTGATATTAATTTATGGATTAATTAGAGACACACCTTCTGTAGTATTGTAGCAAAAGCTTGCGCTTTGAGAAGATTATTTTCAGGTTTTCTTCTTCCAAGATGTTAGTCCCTTATATTATAGGTGTTTTGATATTAGTCCCTAAAATCTTTATATTTTGATATTACTCCTCCAAATTACCTTAACGTTGATATTTGTACTTCTAATTTGTTGGTGCTAAAATAGATGAGGAGACAAATACCCTTTTTAAAATTTTTTCTTGAATAGATAGTTATACCCCTCTCACCCCTCCCTTCCGAGTTCCTCCCTCTCCCCTCTGCTCTTGATACTGTCGCCTCCTATCTACCCTCTTCCTCCTCCACCAGGCCGACTCCAATGTGGCGGTGGTGACAGTGGTGGGGATGATGATGGAGGATGTGAGAATATTAGCGTAAGAGCTGATGGGGGTGGAGGAGAACATGGAGAATGAGAATGCAGGCAGAGAAGGAGATGATAGTGGCAACGTTAGCAGAGGTGGTGACCGGCGGAGGAGGGTATGGTGGTCGAGGAGATGGAGGTGACAGAGGAGAAGATGAGAAAGAGGGAGGGTAAAGTGGCAATTCACAACCCATGTTTAGGGTTTTGAACAGTAAACCTAACAAAAGGACTAATATCAACACATTAATACAATTTTGGGGAGTAATATGAAAATTTGAAGATTTAGAGAATATCAAAATACTTATAACTTTAGGCAGTAAATCTAAAAATCCAGTTTTTACCCTCAAATTTAGAGCATAATTTTATTCTTTTTTATTTTATGTGAAAAAAGTTAATTTATATCGTCACATGATTCATGCATATTGTGTAACTAGTTTCGGAAGTTAATATCAATAAAATAATTTAGAATGTACGAGTGGATATATTTATTTTACAGTAGGTGTAGCATAATTATCGCTTTCGATCTGAATTTCCTTAAAATTTGAAGGATTTTCACATTTTATATATTTTGCTTTTTGCAGATTGAAGAAGGGTTTTCTTTGACAGTGAAGGAACTTGTGAAGAAGTTAAATGCAGCATTAAGGCGGTTCATTTCAAGGACTGAATAAGAGCAATTCTTGTTTGTTACTAGAGGACAAGTTCCCCCTTCCATTTGCAGATTTATATTCTCTGGAACATGGCATCGTGTTGACTTTATGATAAAAGCTTTCACTCTAATTCGATTTTGAGTGATTTGGAGATATATGCGCAAAGTTATCTTAACAACATCAAAATGAGGTCAAGCTGGAGAACATGAACCATTTTAAAAGTTTCTTAGGATATTTAATTAGTTAAATGTGTCACTTAATAACTCAATGTCATGTAAGTGTCTTATAGACGGACGAATTTCTCACTTTTGAAGAGTTGTTTCAAGATATATAGTACGTACCCGGCCTATCGATCCAATTAAAAGTAAGTTGTTGATTTGATTAATAATAAGCATTCTGCTTTTATCCTTACTGTATATTTCTATAGTGGATTCCGTTGAGTGTTATTCTTCATTGGAGGAAGAAGACAGAGTTCTTCTTAGCTTGAACATTGAAAACTAAGAAGAAGAAGCCCCGGGAAGAGATGCGATCTCTGCTCTGTTAACCGCACGCATGATGTTATTAGTGTTGAGACATCATTTGGTTTGGCTTGAAGAGGATCGAACTCCTGTTGTAATTAAGCCCTATGGTTATGATGTGAACCCGTTAGACAAGCAAGCATCAATGAAGAAGCTAATGGCGTGGGCAAAGAATCAACCTTCAAGAAGCTAAAAAAGTTTACTTAACAACTTAGAGAGTAAGTGCAAAAGACAATAGAGTAAAAAATATTTTGTGATTATGTATGTTATTATTTTACCCTTTTGTTTTATCTAACTATGATTCCTTATTCTTTCGAATTAATTATAAAGTCTCAGTATACAGTTGAAAATGGAGAATTGATAGTCACCAACAATTAAACATCTAAGCAAGACAATAGAGAATTTATAGTCACAACCAATCACAGAATAAAAACTTCGATACAGGGATAAAAATTCTGAATTAGATAGGGTAAACATGGAAAGCAATGCGTTCAAGGCTTTTGCAACATATTTACAATACAATAAGGCCAGTGAAAGCAACTTGATCGATCATGAACCAATATATGATATTCCCACCAGTTGTATAATTGAGGAAGACAGTATGATGTATGAGTTGATCACACTTTGTCCTGCAAAAGTTTTAACACCATGAATGAGCACTCCAAAGTTCTTCAATCCCTTTGCATGAGTTGGCCCTGCATGAGACATAAATATTTCATAATCACATATATCATTAGATAAATACACATTCTGCCACTACAAATTAAGCTTATTGAATCTGAAATAGACCTTTCGAAAGGTAAAAAGTTTGGAATGCCAATAAAGACTGTATCGTGCAAGGTGAGAGACGGGGTATACATATTGCTATTAAAGGTTTAGTCCTAAATGGAAATAGCATTCTATTTTTTGATGCACACTTTGAAGTAATCTTGGAATGAAGATAGTATAAACTGGAGGCAATATATTGCTATTAAAGGTTTAGTCCTAAAAGGGAATAGCATTCTATTTTTGATGAACACTTCGAAGTAATCTTTAGAATGAAGCTGGTATAAACTGGAGGGGCCATGTGAGTATGAATTAATAATTTCATCTTATCGTGCTTGAAATGAATATCAACTAGTGCTTTAGAAACCTGATGCATGGATGGTTTTAATTGCAACCTGATACATGAATATCAAGCAGTGATTTACTTATCTTGAATGAAAAAGCCTATAAAATGTGAGAATTGAAAATATAACGTAAGCTTGGTTTGTGCATCTCAATCCCTAATCACAAAAAATTAATACATAAGGATGAATCTTAGCTCTTAGGATTACCCAAAGGAATGTGCGTAGATCAGCCATGTGTGTCAGATATAACCGATCTACCTTAAATAATTACTCAACTGAAAAATTCTTATCTAATTTTCACATTATGAACTCATTGAGGAATAAAATATATCAGTGGTCATCTCAACATGTGCTCAAAAATGTATCACAATAACAACATAATCCCTCTTCTAATGACATGCCTATCTATTAAGAAGTGCAAGTATACTTATCGACATCTTCATGGCATATTTCATGGTTCTCTTGAAAAGCTCCAATACTTTTATACATCTAAAGTTCAAACGATCACGTGTTAGAATGTTACAAAGCAGTCTATTCACAACTACCGACTGTTGGAATTAATTTTGTTTGCATTGTGTAATTAATGGTGTAAATTAATTAGGAGGTTTCCTATTAGTAAGGAATACCAATAATTTCCTTGTAACGTGTAGAGGTTACCTATTAGTAGGGGATACCAAGAGATACTTTGTAATTAAGTTTTGGCTATAAATATAGTCTATTGTGGTAATGAAAAGTATTAGTTAATGAAAAGAAAAACCTTCATCTTTTTTTTGTTTTCTTCATTTGGTATCAGAGCCACACCTAAATTCCTCAGCCAAAAGAAATGCCTTCTGCATCCTCAGCAATGTCTAACACGGCGACGTCGAAGTTCTCGATGAAGGATGGGTCGATGACCATCCATTATCATTTGCTGACGAAGGATAACTACTCGTCGTGGGCATTGAAGATGCGGGTTTTCATGGGCGTGAATGGAGTTTGGGATGTGATCGAACCAAAAAATCAAGATGAGGAGGTGGATAGCAAGAAGGATTCGATGGCGTTAGCCGCCATCTATCAAAGTATCAGCGAGGAGACGCTAATGCTGATCTCAGAGAAGAAAACGGCCAAAGAAGCATGGGAGATGCTAAAGACAATGCACATGGGCGCGGAGCGCGTCCGAGAAGCAAAAATTCAAACCCTGCGATGGGAGTTTGAATGTCTTCGCATGGGAGATGCGGAGACGGTCGATGACTTTGCTATGAAGTTGACAACCAACGTCAATAGGATCCGTGCATTGGGAGACAAGGTCGAAGAGACCTATGTCGTCCGGAAGCTTCTCCGTGCGGTTCCCGAAAAATTCCTGCAAATCGTGTCTACGATGGAACAATTCGGGGACTTGAAGACCATGACCTTGGAGGAGGTCATTGGGTCTCTGAAAGCCCACGAAGAACGGCTCTCTAGCCGTCAAAGACCCACCAATGAGAAGGTGGAGGAGCGGGTTCTACTGACGGAATCCAAATGGAAGGCAAAATATGATACCGCATCAAGCTCCTCAAAGGGACGAGGTGGTGGGCGTCATTTTCGTGGGCGAGGCCGTGGCCGTGGCTATAGACCCAATGATGGGCGTGGTCATGGACCAACTCATCAAGAGAAGACTCGGGACAAAAGCAAACTCCAATGTTACAAGTGTAGCAAGTTTGGGCACTTTGCAAACGAGTGCCGTTCCGAGAAGACCGGAGAAAAAGCCCACTTTGCGAAGCGGGATGATGATGCGCCAGCTCTTCTCAAAGCCGAGTTGTGTGAACTCGGACATTCGGAGGAGTGTGAGGATGTATTGATGCTCAACGAGGAGAAGGTGATGCCAAACCTTCATGAAGTTGAGGCGTGGTACCTCGATACCGGGGCTAGCAATCATATGACGGGTTGCAAGGAGAAGTTCTCCGACCTAGATGAAAGCGTCAAGGGGAACGTAAAGTTTGATGATGAATCCGTCGTCAATATTTGTGGGCGTGGAACTATCTTGTTCCAATGTTAAAATGGGCAACATCTCACGTTGTCCAATGTCTATTATATCCCGAAGCTCCGAAGCAACATCGTGTCCATTGGATAACTTGATGAACACGGATGTGCAAGCACAATAAAGGATGGCTCTCTCTGCATCTTCGACAACACATGGAGACTATTAGCTAATGTGAAGAGGAGTCGAAACAGGTTGTACGTTCTTGATCTTAGCCTTGCCCAACCCGTGTGCTTTCTGGTGAACCTCAAGGATAAGTCGTGGCTATGGCATGCATGCTACGGTCACTTGAACTTTCCGGCGCTAAGGAGCATAGCGCACAAGAAGATGGTTGAAGGCATGTCGGTCTTGGGGCAACAAGATCAACTGTGTGATGGATGCTTGATTGGAAAGCAACATCGCACGCCATTTCCATCCTCCTCGACGTATCGTGCAGAGAAGCCCCTTCAACTTATTTTTGCCGATCTCTGTGGACCAATCACACCGGCGAAACCGAGAGATAACCAATATTTTCTGCTATGCGTAGATGATTTCAGTCGTTACATGTGGATCAGTCTTATCAAAAGAAAGGATGAGGCTTTTAATGCATTTAAGAAGATCAAATCACTAGCGGAGATGGAGGTCGACCTAAGGTTGAAAATGTTGCGGACGGATCGAGGAGGGGAGTTCACCTCAAAGGACTTCTCCAGTTATTGTGAAGGACTGGGCATCAAAAGGCAATTCACAGCACCATATTCGCCGCAACAAAATGGTGTTGTGGAGCGGAGGAATCAGACTATCATTGAGATGGCAAGGAGCTTGTTAAAGAGCAAGAATATGCCCTCGTTCTTTTGGGGAGAAGCGGTGAATACGGCTGTCCATATCCTCAACTGTGCACCGACGAAGAGCCTCGAAGGGATGACACCATATGAAGCTTGGTGTGGGCGGAAGCCGAAGGTCCACTACCTTCATGTCTTCGGATGCGTTGCACATATGAAAAACATGCAACCTCACCTGAAGAAGCTGGAAGATCGCAGCAATCCTATGGTGTTTCTCGACTACGAAGATGGGTCCAAAGCTTACCGGTTGTATGATCCGGTACACAAGAAGTTGCATGTTAGTCGTGACGTACGATTCGAGGAGGACAAAGCATGGTGTTGGGAGCAAACACCACGCAAGCACAACGAGGAGGAGAGTGATTCACGGCCCGTGGGATCATTCATTGTGCTTGGTTACGATGAAGATGGAGCCCCAGAAACTGCAGCAGCGACCGGCTCTGAAACTGCAGCAGCAACCGTGCAGTTTCAGAGCTCGCTGCTGCAGTTTCAGAGTTCGCTGCTGCAGTTTCAGAGCCGGTTGCTGCTGCTGTTTCAGAGCCGGTCGCTGCTGCAGTTTTTGGGGCTCTTTCGGGGGCTCCATCTTCATCGTAATCAAGCACAATGAATGATCCCACGGGCTGTGAATCACTCTCCTCCTCGTTGTGCTTGCGTGGTGTTTGCTCCCAACACCATGCTTTGTCCTTCTCGAATCGTACGTCGCGACTAACATGCAACTTCTTGTGTACCGGATGTTCTTGTGGGCATCTCTCGAAACCAAGAGTGAAGAGGCTCTTGTCCAACTTCGAGTTCCAAGCTCGTGGAGCTTGGCGCAGTCCATAGAGAGCTTTCCTCAATTTGAGTACCTTTTTCTCATTTCTTACTTCAACAAAGCCAGGGGGTTGAGAGACGTATACCTCCTCGATAAGATCACCGTTGAGGAAGGCTGATTTGACGTCCATATGATGTACCTCCCATCCTCTTTGCGCCGCTAAAGCCAA